CATTGTTAACTATCAAAGTCACAGGGAAAGGGAAGATCTCTATGTTGTGTGCTATGATGGAGTATTTTATATTTTCTTGAGAAGAGTAAGATATACTGTAGTCAAATTCTAATTTTAGATGAATAATCAAAATTTTAAGGAAATAAGAAATGACAACATGAAAAACACAGTAACAACCTTTATTTGTATCACTGTGTTTTTGTAAGAGAAGCCATTGTTTTTCTTAGTAGACTCTGGCAACCAGATACACACACACACACACACACACACACACACACTTATTCACAACATTTTCAGGATCACAAATCATTCAACAGCTATCTTTCCAGGTGAAAATGTACACTAACTTTTTTCTTTCTCTCACTGTATCTCCTTTGCTCCCTCCCTCTTTGCAGTCCTGCCTCAATTCTTCCTTCTCTTATATATTCTCTCCTTTCTCCCCCCTTTCTTTCAGTCTGAAGATGAACTTACCTTCTTAGAAAGAGGATTAAAGGAACAGATACTGTACCTTTTTCCCAACTTGCTAATAGTCTCCTAAACATCCAGACTAATTCTACCAGATAATGACTCATCAAAGGTTGCCTAAGTCACACTGTATTGTCTTGTTGAGTAAGTGCATGAGTGAGAAAATGAATGAATGCCATGTGAACATTTCAAGTTACCTAATAAAGGTTCATGTAAATCTCTTTCAGTCTAAACTCGTTTCATTTTAAAAATTTCCCAAAACAGAAGATAAATTATTCTTATACCACACTTGGCTGAGAATGTTCATGAAAATGGAGACCATTATATCAAATCTTGTGTTATTGGTATATTTCTCATACATAAAACTGTAAGACTTTGCTAGTCCATTGCAGAAATTGAACTGATAAGAAAACAAGAATTTCTGAACACATACTAAGTTTGTTAATCTCTAAGTTGGAAAAGCAGATTTCCAGAAAAAGAGACCTTATTTCAAATTAAAAACAAAATAAAACAAAGTCCAGTCTTCATCTTTGTCAACATTCAAAGGTATTAGACAGTAAGATTTTCCAAAACATAAAATAGTTGTCTACCAACAGGAAAGATGTATTACCAGAAACAAATTTTATTCCAAATTTTAAAAAATCTGTTTTCCTCCATTTTAGTATTTAAAGCAGGTGCCATCTTCTGATTAATTAAATCACAAGATGTTCCTTATGCTAAAACCTTAGCAAGCGGAACTTAAACAGAAACTGTTGGGTGCACTGTTTCCATTTCTTCTTCTTTTCTTTGAAATTATCCAGAACACAAGGGGAGCTTGCAAGCTTATTTTCCAGATCACTGATGGCAATGTGATTTTGTGTTCATGTGTGAGTATGCGTTTTGTTTCGAAAAAGACATCAACTGGAAGCAGTTTCAAATCTTTGGTAACAATTTTGTGAGGAGGATGTCAAACAGGAGCTATCGGCCACATTTTGCCAGGTCACTTGTCAGATGAGTAGTGGGAAGGTTTTGAGTTTCTGGGCAAGTATAATTCACATTTGTGAAACTACATAGAAAACTATGTAAAAGTTTTGCGGACCCTACTAGGTGTTTTAGAGCAACGAAGAAATCTTTGTTCTTTATTGTTAGCATATTACAGTCTTCAAGGAAAAATTTGAATGTCCTTTTTCTAGAATATCCCAAATTTTCTCCATGTGGGTAGAGTACTTGTTCAAGCACAATTCAGAACTGCAGGAGGTGTAAGTGTGCTGTGCTTTCGTATTAAGTTAACATTACTGAATGTAAGGTCAAAATTAATGAAGAAAGTAGCAAATTCAAAGTTCTGCTGAGGAACATCCTACTGCTTTTAGCAAGTGACTTGAAATAAAGGAGGAAATCCACCCTCTTTTATATTTAAAAACTTTGAAAGCCTAATGAGTCATACTTACTCTAATAGTTCCTACCCCACCAAAATTTGTGGTAGGCCTGGGCTCATTAACTGGAAGCAGACCATTCAACTCTCGCTATGATTTCTTACAATGTTCTTACCATTTCCATTGTATTCGCTTGATGAAACAGTGGTATCTCACTGTTATTTCATTTTTCTTGTTATTGATGTGTAATCCCTACTATTCCATGAATTAAATGTTTCCATCACACAACAAAGAGTCTCATTAAGTTGTTTAACAAGTGTCTAAAATACATTAATTTTTTAGTAGGGTAGGTTCTTAAATCAAGGTGGCTGTTATGCTTTGTTTTACTTCCCTTTCTATGGGTTTCAGACTAATGAGTGATGGTTTGTGAAATAAAGGAGAAAATAAGTAGACTATAAATAATGTAGAATATAAGGCATAAACAATTTAATTTTTTAGTTATTTAAATGGATCTTATATTATCAAAGATCAAAAGGCTAGTAATTTGTTTAACTCTTTAAAATTTTTATTTTTTGTAATCTCAGGGCAAAATTTTTGCTATAATAAAGAACCAGAGATTATACAGAACATACCATTTCAGGGTACCTGAATCTGCTTTTATGGGGTCTCTGTATCTTTCATTGTATTTGAACTCTTCCAAGTTGTAGATAAGTGATGCTAAGGAAAAGTAGTTTTTGTTTATAACATAGAAATAAATTCTTGTGGTTAAAATTTCAACTGAATTCTCTTCCTCACTCTGGGGAAAGCTGGGTTAGCCTCAATTAGCATATTAAATTTAATATTCTAGATATATATAAATGTGTGTGTTCTTTGGATTTTCCCTTTATTTAATTATAACACTGTACCAGGGCCTTTATTAGTGAATTAATGTGCTCATTTTATAAAAGTATGAAAGTCACATTTTCCAAATTCTTCAAACTAAAAGGTGATGTTGACAGGATTTGCATTATATTTTGACAACAAAATACAAATGCATTTCTTAGGTCATATATAATTTAGTTTCTACAATGAGAATTGGAGATTCTCTTGCTGATTATTCCAGAACAAAAAGATGTATACATAATTAGTATTTTGATATGAATTGGCTCTAACAACATCTTTCAAGGTTAAAACCAGTATTCTATTGGCAACTTCAAACAGAAGGGTTCATGAACATATATTCTGTCACTAGTTCCCTAAGAATTCTGTTGTTCACAGGTGTCTGAGGCAGAGTCCTAACAGATTATCCAAAATTTGGCAGGTCTTTTGCAAAATGCTGCATATAAAGAAGATACATGTTTATGGCAAGATACTTCATTTGGTGTGTTGGGTCTAATATAACTAAAGGCTGTGTCCAAAGCTAATTGCACTATACATTCTACATTCTCAAAACTTCAACGAGATTTAATTTTAAAGCTCATACTCTCTGGAGGCATTGGAAAATAAAGGGAGGGAGATGAACGAAAGATATAGATAGATAGATAGATGATGCAAAACTATTTATTTATAAGTAGCTATATATACATATAGACATTTGTGAGGTAACTCTGATAACAACCTGTTCCTATTTCTAAGCAGAGTAATAAGAATTGGAAGAAATGGAGAGTATTTTCACATTTCACACTTGGCTCCAGTACTCCACTGAGTAGAAGTGTCTCCAGGAAGTGAGTTAAAATTTCTGAATCTCATTTTTATTATTAATATGTGACAATAATAATATTTTCAACTTTAAAGAGTTGTGAAAGTTGAAATGACAATGTCTGCCAAGCGTTTTGCCATGATGGGATGCCAGGTGGAAGAGTTGGAGCACTTCAAGGGTAATGCCAGGTGCCCCATCTTTCTTGGATGTAGAGACCTCTGTCGGATGGAAGGCCAGGGAGAATTTGGTCTGGCCTTAGGAAGACTGGGTGATGCTTGTAGGAACAGAATGAAACTGTCCCTTTATTTTCCTCTCCGGGAAGACTAAGAAGAATTTATTTGATTAGCTTGCTAGGTTTTCCTCTTTCTACTAGAGATATCAATTCCTAAATATTTTCTGCTCCTTTAAAGTTATTCCACAAAACTGTAGGTGAATGTCAAGGGCAGCCCATCGAGTCTCTGGGACTTTGATCAAACTCTCCTATTTGGAATGTGTTTTTCTTGGAAAATCTTCTCTTATATCCCTACCTCTCTTTCTAACAAATAGAAGTAAGTAATTATTTTCTGAATTCCCGCATGTCTTTTCAAAGTGTTTATGTTTTGACCTATTATGTTCTGAGAAAAACTCATCGTGTTGCGTGAGCTAGCTTTCCAGGTCTGGTACTTGATGCTCTCTTTCCATTATGTTCATGACAGAATTTGAAAAAGCAGAAAGAACGAGGCAGTGGGAAATTCAGACATGTTTGTGTGTTTCCACTTCTTGTAGGAGGGAGTTTTGGTGTATGTGGCTTTCCCAGAATAGCAATAACATTCATATGTCAGATAACTCATTAAACCAATCATGCTCTTTTTCATGGTTTCTTGTTTTGTTTGATCTACCACATTGTTCCTGTTTATCTGGTTGGCTATTTTCAATGGAAAGATTTGGAAGAAAAGGGCTTAAATCATTCATTTGGAACGAACTCCCATGTGTATATTGCAGTGCTCTCAAACTAAGAGCTCTCAGCCCATTAAGCGTTTTATTTGGAAAGTAATGCATTTTTAAAGAAATTGCATCTGAACACCATGTGGGAGTCTCACTCTCCTCCTTGCTTTACACCTAGTTCTCTTAAGAAATTATGCTCTACCTGGCTTCTGCAGGCATTGGAGTTTTTAGTTGATCAGCCTCTCAGATCGTCAGGAATCTATCATCAGTCTTTTTTGTTAACTCTGCTGCATTTCAGCAATAAAAATTATAAATATTTGATAATCAGGTATCTCCAGGACAGTTCTTTCTGGCTAGGTGTAATGCAGATTTTCAAACCTTTTGGGAATCAGCAACAGTGGAACTCTTTGAAACTAGAGCTTCAAAAATTTTTTCCCCATCTTGCTTTGCAGCACCAGAAAGATGTGCATGGATACAATGAACAGAGCAGAAAATGGAAGAGGGAATAGCAGGAGTATGTTTAGTTAATTATTTCCTATTTTTCTTATACCAATATATTTTTTAAATGAGTCAAATACATATTTTAATTGATAAACTGACTTTATATTCACCTATTGGAAACAGTACAACATATTTTACATCAGATTATGAAATATGGATGTTTTACTAAAAGACAGGAAGAGCTTTTTCCAGTCTTTAAAGTAAATACATATTCAAAGGATCTTAAGGCATACCATTTATTCATATTCATATCTATTGAAATACTGTACATCCACATACTTCAATAAATAGTTAAAAACCTGACCTCTTTTAAATCATTTCTGGATTTCAAAAAACAATTTTTTATTGAAAAGGTTAAATAGGTAACTTTTGGCTGTGTCACAAAGCTAAGCACAATGGATAAATTAACAATTATTCAATAATTTGCTCAATATAGATGATTGGCTTTGATAATTCAGTTTCTCAGAGTTTTCTGGCTTCACACATAGGGGTCTTTAACTATATATATATTTTGCGTCCTGAATTATCTGGGTAATTTTCTTAGTTCTCCAGTCTACTTTCTAGATATAGCTTAAATGTTATGATGAAGCATTAATTTTTCAGCTAAGGTATAAACCCCCCAAAAGTGGCTTTATGTTTGAAATTCTCTCAAATCTTAGTGTCTCAAAAAACACATGATATTATAACTTGGGCAGTACTTTTCATTATATAATTGCTGCATAATAGGAATTTAATGGCGTAACAGGACTTATGCTTGGGATGAGATCATTGTAAAACATAATTACACCACCTGCATTTAAACTGAGAATGCAAATGAACAAGTTAACTACCCTAATCTTCTGATTCTTCCCTCCCTCTCATCCTTCCTTATTTCTATCTTACCTCCTTCCTTCTTTTCTTCCTTTTTTTTTTCCTCTCTTTTTGCCTCCTTTTCTGTCTTTATGTTTTCTCTCTGCTCTCACAACTGCTTTTTATTTTCCATTTCTCTTTCTTTGAAAAAAATTTAGGGGCAACAAAAAGAATCCCACAAATGGAACTTGTGGAAAAGATAATGCTGAAATGAATAGCTAAAAAAATTGTCATAGATTGAAGGATAAATCAATGTTATAAAACTGCTCTTCTGAAACTGCAACAATCTTGTACAGTCAGGACTGATAAAATGGAGTAATCAGACATTTCATGTGTCCCATAAATGTAAAATCATCTACTTGAACATTATATGCAATACATTCACACAAAAAGCAAATACTGTAGTCTTATTTGAACAATACTGAACTCATAAATACTCATGATTTCACTGTGTCCAGGGGCCTAAAGACTAGGAATGCTGCTGTGATACAGAAAAACATAATACCTCCTCTATTTAAAAATGTCACTCAAGAAAGTCTCTTCTAACATAAAGGCAAATACATATAGCTACTGAGCTATGACTGTACTTCTCACGTCCTATGGGAAAAACACCGGACTCCACAAATTCGGAATCATGACAACACTTTGAACTAATTATTTGGTTCATCCATAGTTTATACCTCAATTTACCTCACATGTACCCTACAAACCATACAAAGAGGAGGTATTTTTAACTCTAGGAAAACGGTCACTGTATAATATGCATTCTTGATCTGTTTCTTTCTCCCAAACGATGGTACAGATGGTTAACACTTTTGTGGTAGCACCACTATTTCTAGTAAGTAGATTATTATGGAGTGTGCCACTTTAAAGCTGCAATACAAAGAAAATATTTTGTAGTTTACTCACCAATTCCACAAAGAATATAGTTTTGAATGACAAATACATAATAAATTTCAATGCCATATTTTTAAGAACCCATTTTAATAAATCAGTCAAAATGTCCTAAATTTATTACAGCTAGCAAATTTAATAGCATTATGTCATATTATTGCCATTTTGTGGGAAGACTGTGTATTTATGTTCCCTCATTTATGATTCATTTTTCTAATTAAAACAGATTTATGGTGTATGTCATCTTTATATTTTATTCGAATAAAAAGATCACAATTTTTAAGCCATTCCTTTTAGGGCAAAGTATAGGCATCTTGAACATGTATAACCTCTGTAAAATGTTTTGTATCTAACTTTGTTAGTAGAATCTTTATTGTTGGTATGGACTTACAAAAGGTGATTGTTTGTAGAAATATAGGTGTGCTAAAATTGGAAACTTCATCCAACCTGTAAAATGGCTTTCAAGGCTGTGGCCTTTCTTTGGGAAAGAGCGAAACCATCAGCCTATTCCTGTAATATAATAGTTAGACTAACAGCATTTTCCTTCAAAAATGTGGTCATCATTTTTAAAGTAGAAAAACTTTTGAATACTCACAATGGTTTAATAATTAATAGATCTTAAGATGGTGTCATCCCTGGTATCTTTGTTTGATCATTTTATATATAATATCATGTGAGAAAATATAGAGCATGGTAATTTTGGGGGCTTCACTTATTTGAGCTATTGAGAAAAGTTTTCATGGAAGAATCAGTTACCTCAGGGATTGAGCTGATGAATACTAATGTGAAATATTTGTTATATTTTGGAATTCCTTGTAGCATGCATCTGGACTATCAACTCAGTGATATTGTTAGACAGAAAATATGCAAAATGCTCCTGTCTGCAGGAGCACTGTGTCTGTCATACTTTTTTTTTTTTCTTTTTTTGGTATCAGGGATTGAACTCGGGGTCTTCCGCTTGTGAAGCAGGTGGCAGAACCACTGAGCTAAATCCCCGGCCCTCTGTCATACTTTCTTATCTATCATGAAACCAAATTAATCGTGAGCACTTACCAAGTCATATGATATTAGGTGATAGGACTTTTTGTCCTTTTTCACAAACCCTCTTAAAATGTTGGCTTGGAACAGTGAAAGAGAAAGACTCTATCTCGCAAGGCAAACCCTTGAGAAAGCTATGCTGTCATTTTCAGTGGGAATTATTTCCCACTATGGATGTAACATATCGTGTTAACTAACAAAAAAACCTCATGTAGTACATTTACTTTCCTATGTTGTGAGATTACTTTTCATCACAAAAACTGAGTTATTCTGGGGCAAAATTCTCAAACCCCACCGGTTAACAAAGGAATAGTCCAGTGTCTCTTTAGAGATAGGGTTGTGTTTAACTCTATCCTTACGGTTTAGTTTTGCTTCCAAATTGTAAGATTTAGCAAAACATTTTGTAGGAGTTGGAGAGAAAGAGAAAAATATTATTTTATGAAGGCACACCCATGCTGAACTGACAGGAAAAAGAAGCGGGGCTGCACAGCCAGTTATATTACAAGGTTCATTCCTGAAACCTGAATATCATGCGAGCAGAAAAATCTAGATATGTGTTATATCTTGAAGAAATGATCTGAAGGCAATATTATTTGCTTTTTATCAAAAAAGAAAGAAATGCATCTTTGTAAATGTGGATTGACTCTTATTGAAACAGGGAACAAAATGCTTGTATTGCAGCCTTAAAGAATCACGTATTCACTGCAATATTCGTTTTTGTAAACTACAGCCTGCAACCTAGCAGACCATGACTGAATGCTTTTGAAAAGTTGTAGATTACAAACATGAAATCACAATTAATATCCTCTAAAAGTAATTTCAGAGCTTTCACGTCTTAAAAAAAAGGACAATGTGTACTGCTTCACAAGGTAATGTAGCTAATCAAAAAAAGAGTAGAATTAAAGTATTTACATAATGAGCAATTCTACAGAAGGCGATCAACCCCATGTAAGCACTGCTGATTATATCCCACGCTGCTTTTAACAAACTGTACCAGATTGGATCCAGCCATCAGCACTTTCAGAGAATCCTTAAAAGCCTTTTATGGGTCTTTAAATTTATTGTAGAATGGCATTCTTCAGGTAGAATATGCTGGTGAAAGGGGACAGTGTCAACACAAGGTACCAGCAGGAGAAAAGAACATCGGCGCTCCCGGTAATTCCATACTGGGCTGTACTTGGAGCTGGAAAGAAAAGGAAAAGATTCAATCAAAATCTAATTTGTGTCTTTCAGCATCGTAACAATAATCAAAAGGCAGCTAGGTGTACTGTGGAGCTCACAGGCTTAGGGGTCAGGCAGAATTAGGTCCACAACTGATTCTGCTCTATGAGAATGTGTGGCCCATTTGACTAACCTCTCTGAGCTTCAGTTTCTCAAGGGCAAAACAGAAACAAGAATAGTATAATGCACCCCCCCAACCTGTTACAAGAACTGGAGACAGAGCACATCCAACACAGTAGACTGACACATGCTAGGTAGTCAATAAACAGCCCCTAACATTCCTGTTCCTCTATGTGAATGGTAAATATGTACATTTGTGGACAATATTCATTCATGCGTAGACTTGTAAATCTTTCTTGCCAGCCAAATACTGCACTGAACATCAGAACAGCAAAAAAGAGTTTCTCCCGTCCAAGCACTGGTGTGTGTGAGGGGCTGGGGGTGGGAACAATTCTGATACAATCCTAAGAATATTAGACTTGCATGTGCCAGCTGGAGTGGCGTAGAAGAATTGTGTGTTTAAATGTGCTTGGGCAAGGGAACAGAGTTTAATGAAAGGAAGGACCATTTGGATAGAGGAAATAACATTCAAAGGCAGGAGGAGAGGAGAGAGTAGGCCAAAATCTAGGATCTAAATCTAGCTCAGTCTTGTCAGACCAAGTTTGAGGCCTGAAGTAGAAGGAATTGAGACTCAGACTCCAGGCAGGAGGATGATTTCCATCGTAATGAATGGTGTTTAGGTTTCTATGCTGAAGCAGATTTTGAGGAATTTGGAACATCTGCATCAGAAAGACCAAAGTTTTACACATGGAGAAGCTCAGCTGGGGTTTGCCTAAAAGCCAGGTTGAGCTTTCCCAACACATCTAAGGGTGCATTAAGTTGGATCTATGGTCGGAGGCCACAGAGTGGATTCTACTTCATTTCACAGGAGCGCTGTTGCTTCCTTGTGCGTGGATTATATTGGGTTTTTTTCTTTGGTACCGGGGGCAGGCGGCAAAACCACTGAGCTAAATCCCTGGCCCTATATTGTATTCTATATGAATGTCTCAGACACGCCCAGACTTGCTCAGGACTAATTCTCATTTGCCACAATAATAATAACAACAGAAATAACAAAAAAAATCCACCCACATTGTTTTAACTGCTTTGGTTAATTAACCCTGATTTTAAGCACAATTTGCGTGTAGAAGTTGTGGAATCTAATAAAGAAATGTGCAGGTTCACCCCTAAACCCATAACTCCAAGGTAGGACCAGTTTTACTTGCATTGTGTTTGAATTACCAGTAGGGCAGGAGGTTTTCAATGGGACTTTCACAAATGGCTATGTTACCTTGTAGCAGGAAGAACTGCTTGTGTTGTTTCTACCTCTAAGAAATTAAAGAGGATGAAAGATGCATTGGCCTCTGCTAGTGGGAAGATCCCCTGACAGGGAATTGTTGATTCCAGGTAAGTAGAGTCCTAGTGCTGAAGCTCCTACTTTTTACTAAACACAGTATAATCAGCTATTTAACACATCTGTATGTATCAGATATGAGTTTTAAAGTGAAAAAGTGATGAGGAAAATAAATCTTTTGCTGAATAGATAGGATTTCAATATCTGTTCTCTAAAGAATCTATAAATACTAGAAACTGGTTGCTGCATTGTTAGCATTGTTAAGATTCCTTCTTTTCTCTCCATGAAAACACAGAAGGATATTTTTAAAATGTAAATGAGTATTTAGTTGGTGTATGACCATGGAAATAGCAACTGTTTCAGAGCAGTGTTTTGTTTTTTTTTTCTAAACAGGGATCTTGAGTGTGATAAAACTAGTATAATAGTAAAGGAAAATAATAGACAAGCACAGAAAGTTTTATAGATAAGAAAAATTTTAAAGCTCAGGTTATAAAGTAAGGTCATTTTGTTACCATGACACATTGAGTAGCATATAAGTGGATGGATGGAGTCTTGATGACCTCAGAACACAGCTATCTTTAAAAATGCATGTTAGAGCTACCTTTCCTGAATCCCTTCTCCTTTTCCTACAAGCTGAGCTCAGGATCCCTTTTGTGTCATTAGTAAATGATATTATTCCTTCATTTTAGCATTAGCATGCTACATTGCAAATATTTGTTTACATATCTATTTCTAATGCCAGGTAATGTCTTATTGCCTTTGTTTTTCTTGACACAGAGTATGGTAGATAGTAGATGCTTAAGAAAGGCCTAAGTGAAAGATTCAATTGAATAAATAAATTATTTGTAATTAAAATGTGTTTTTCTAGCCTATAAAATCTTTCTGGAGCAAGGTACGTGGATATAGCCTAGAAAAAATAAACTGGAAACATTAGCCACAGCAATTAGACAAGAGAAAGAAATAAAAGAAATAAAGATAGGAAACGAAGAAGTTAAACTGTCATTATTTGCTGATGATATGAAGCTCTACATAAAATAAGATACTAAATTTTTAATATTTCATTCAACAATTTTTTATAGAACTAGACACCAAATCCTATGTTAAGTCCTGGCAATGCAGTGGTTAATAAGATAGATAGGTCTTTTTGTTATTGAATTCCATACATGCCCTTATATACTCCTTTCTCATTTACCCTTAATGCCATGTTTTTTCCCAATATGTCTATCTCTTCTACTTTGTCTCTTACTGTCTTAAATATAATAAAGGCATTATCAATAACATATTTACAAATTACAATTACTGTACCATTAAAATAGCATACTTTATCACTAATGCCACAAATTGATGCTTGTTTATGAATCTTATTTTTGAATTGGTTGCTGCAATTGTTAACCAGCAATTATTAAAGGCAATGGACTGAAAAATAATTATGAAGTCAATAAGCCGAAAAACAAAGGGCAAAGTTAGTCAAAGGAATATGAGGTTGGATACTTATGAGCAAGTTGGATATTATTCGTGATTCCTTAACTATATTCTGGATGTCTTTTATGTACACAGGGGCTGACTTAAACAACAGGCAAGAAAAGATAAATAAAATACAATCTTCTCCTTCAAAAAGAGTTCACTCTAGTAGGGGGTACAAATAAACACAAATATAGAACATGGGACATATTTAGCTACAAGGAGAACACACAGGCATATTAGGGCTAGCTGAGAAGCTATGGCAGGGCAAAATTTCAGGCAACAGTCGCTATTTATTTTTATTTTTTATTTTTATTGTTTCACGAAACTCAGTGACATAGTATATGTACTTTAGTACATATATCTTAATTTGTAAAATGGCTGTACACTAGTCTTTGCTATTGTTTACCTTCATTCTATGACTTTATTGTCATCGATTGGCATTCATTGAATGTAGTTTGTATGTATGTTTGAACTGAACCATTTAGAGAACAGGGTTAATGGCATTACATTTAAGGATCTCAGCACTATTTGAGTCAATTCGATTTGCTTCGCATCTAAAATCCCAATAGATTATTTGATGTTAAAAAATTAAGCAACTGACAGATATTATGAGAACTGGCTTCAAGACTCAGCAAAAGCATCAACACCTTGAAAATGTTTCTCTGGACTTCCAAAAATGCCTTCCATTTTGGCTTAAAAAATATCAGTTCCCCTGCATTTTCTTGGCTGCTTTGGAAGGATTTTATAAAATCCCTTTTATTGCTAGATAATTGGCTAGTCTCCTCTGGCTTGCAGTCTCCTTGAAGTCAGGGAGTGTGGCCTCTTTCTTTGCTTCTCTCTTCCTCCTTTGCCAACAAGACAAAGCCAGCGCGACACATGGCATTGAGAGAGTGGTGTCATGGGTCACTTAATGCCAAGTTTGGTTCTGGAGGCCTTTTCTCAGGCATAAAGCAGAAGTGTTCAGGCTAGATGGCAAGTCTAAGCCTTTGGGATTTCTCCCAGTTGTCAACAGGAAGATCCGAGCTGGGGGTTTCAACACATATCTTACATGTTGTCTAATTATGATTATCACTCCCAACTACTTACAGCTGCTGTATATTATTTTCAGTCTTGGCAGTTTTCCCTTGTATTGCTCTAGTTTTTATTTTTAGGCAAGAGCAAATGTAACTGTGAAATATTTAGTTTTGGTACAATACCAATTACTCGCCTAGGCAATTTCTTTAAATTATTCAAACTTTAACTAAACTAGCTTTGTGTCATATTGTTAAGATTCCTGTCACAGTCTTAGGTAGGTACTTGAGCTACATTAATTCTGCCTCCCCAAGACAAAACTGGCCTCAACTTACATTTTCCTAAGGAGGTTTATACCTTAAAGGAAATGAATGATTTGTACCCAACTTAGGTTTCATGCAAAAGAGAGTGACTAATATGCACTCAAAATAGAGAACATATTAGTCTAGTGAAAAATTATGTACTATTTAATTAGATCTCATTGATGGTGTGACCCTATTTCAGCATTTGGTGTGGGAGGATTTTGCTCATAAGATAATTTAATCGTCTTTTAAGGAATATCTAACCTTCTACACAATCAGCAGGGGAGGGGATATTGGGACACTCTGATTATACTGTACTTTTTGGAGTCACTTTATTCTACCTAAACAGTGGGTGGAGTTTAAGAGAAAAGAGAAGCAAAGGGGATATGCTTTGTAACTGGATATATAACTTCTGATTGTAGTGTCTGAAAGAATCAGGGAGGACTCATCACTCAGGTGATTAATCTCATTATTCCTCTTTGTTACTTCTTGTGTGACATAGTCCTCATTCTAAGATGCCAAGATACTGTAGCTCAGATATAGCAGAGACAAACCAGTTCTCATGTGCCACCTCACACTGGTGGTACATTGGCTTCTGTGGAGAAAACGCTGTCTGGGTGGATGCTGCATGTTCCTATGTCATAGGCCTCTGGGGTTCTCTTCTTTGTCTCGACTCTGGGGTTGAAGAACCGTGCCCACCTGGCACAGGTCAGTGTGGTGGAGCAGTTTGTTTTTTCACTCAACACATCTTTATTGTGCTGTATGCTGTTTCCTGGGATACAGAGAGATGAA